ATGGTTCAAGTACTTGGGCCCCTGCGACCCACATAGGAGAATGGATGGAGTTCCAGGCTCCTGGTTTGCTGTTGTGGTCATTTGGGTGGAGAGTGAACCAATGGATGGAAGATCTCTTTCTGTGTCTCTCCATTTCTTTCCTTCTCTCTGTCACTCTGCCTTTCAAATAACTCAAAAAAAATTTAAAAAAAAAAAGGAAAGGCAAAGTTATAGAACAAGAGAGACAGGGACAGAGACATCTTCCATCTTCTCATTCTCTGGTTTTCTCCTCAAATACTCACAGTAGCTGAAACCAGGAGCCTAGAACTCCAACCAGATCTCCACATCAGTGGCAGGGACTCAATCCAGCCATCATCTGCTGCTTCCCAGGACATACATCAGCAGGAAGCTAGATCAGAGATGGAGATTTGACTCCAAGAACTCTGATATGGGATACAAGCGTTCCAAGTGGCATGTTAACCTCTGTGCCAAATGTCCCCCTCCAACTCCAGTCTTCTTGTTCAATGCATTTCCCAGGATCCCTGCTAAGACTATAGACAACGTCTGGGTCATTCTCTCTGGCAAAGGTGTGTTTATTGCTTGCTGTTCTGGTTATCTATTGCTACATAGCAACCAGCAACACTTCATGAAACTCTCCAACATTTAGCCGCGAGTCTAGGCTTCTCCTGGGCTGGTTCTGAGCAGGTGCCTCCCACGAGGCAATTCAGGCAATTAAGCTTTCCAGGTAAGCCAGGTGAGTAACATGTCTTATACAACCTTGCCCTGGATGTCACACATCAACTCCTCTCTTCACTATTTGCAAGCCCACAAGATCCATGAGGGGGCAAAGACCTCACCTCTTGAAGTTTTTCAACTCCCCCATATGATAGTCTCCATTTCTTAGTTTCCAACATCTGTGTGAAGCCTTTCTGTTGTTGGGACAACTGTGTTTTCTTTGATGTGGCAGAGTGAACGGCTCGAAGTCCTTGTGATGCATGGGGTACTCTGTGGTTAATAATCTGCTGTTCATTATAATGATCTGTAGTCTCTATCATAGCAAATGGGCTGGAACCACAGATATATTTACTGCCTTAATTTCGTTGCTAGCATCAGGCTTATTTTAAAGTATTCTCTCTTCATTTGGACTGAATGTCTTTTATCTAAGCTTATCTTCAATGTCAATAAGTTTTGCATTCCTCAACAGCTGGAAGCCTGGATATTATACATCTCTCTTTCTATTAATCTTCTCTAAGTTGATCTTTATAGCCAGGGAATCCATTCATCACGGCAAGCTGTCCTTTTACATTTGTATGGTCTTCCATTTAGCCAAACCAACTCTCGTTCTTTATTGAGACTGAAGTTCTTTATCATTTTAATAGTTTATAGAGTTCTCTCTTAGAGCTGGTAGAGTGTCACATTGTCCAAAAGAATAAATGGATGCTAATAACGTCCTTCGATATGTTTCATCTTAACCCATTCGTAGGACTTCTTGGTAAAATTTTCCTCAAGAAGAATCATAAGGTTTGAGTGTCTGTAAAATATTCTGCATCCCACAAGAGGATGTACAATTTGGTAGTAGAACGAGACACTATATTTCATTCGTTCACTTCATTCTGTAAAAACCTCAGACTTGATTTTGTTCACCGACATCATGCCTAATTGAAACAGGCAAAGGACATAAAAATTTTTTTAAAAAGATTTATCTTTTTATTTGAAAGGCAGGGTTACAGAGAGCAGAGGCGGGGGGGGGGTCTCCCATCCTCTGATTCACTCCCCAGATGGGCACAATGGCAGGAGCTGGGCTGATCTGAAGCCATGGGCCAGGAGCTTCTTCTGGGTCCCCCATGTGGGTGCAGGGGCCCAAGCACCTGGCCCATCTTCCACTGCCTTCACAGCGCAATAGCAGAGAGCTGGATCACAACTAGGGCAGGTGGGACCTGAATCGGTGCCCATATGGGATGCCGGCACTGCATATGGTGGCTTTACCTGCTATGCTACAGCACCGGCCCCTCAAATGGTTTTCAAAAACTAATACCATCCATTTCATGAGATAGGAACGAGAGCTGAAAGCAAGAGAACGGGGGAAAAAGCCTTGAGGGAAGGAGAGAGGGATGAAGAGAAGAGAAAGGCTAGTTTCAGTGAAAGATCACCGGAATTCAGAACCACGCCAGGGCAGGCAACAATGCTTTCACACGCAGAGTACCACGAGGAAGGAAGCGTGGGAGAGGCAGGAGACAGCAGTGTGTTTCATGAACTGAGCCCAGTTCGATAGGGGAAAGGGGCTGTGGAAACCTGCCCCACCCCAATCCCTGGATCCACACTACAGGACAGTCACTGGTGGAAGAAAGTGGTTTATTTTTGCGTTGCATGAGCAAGGATGTGGATGGCTATCACTCAGTTCCTGGTCCCCCTGGGGAATGAAGGGGGCTGACTCTCAGGGTTAAAATTGAGGTTGAGCAGTGTGTGTGGGTCTCCGGTTGGTCCACGGTGCCCGTGGTCTTCCTTTGGCTGGTCAGTGATAGGAAGTCAGTATGTTCTTCTAACAATGCTCAAAGGCAAAGTGAGCTCTGGTCAGTCTGCGGACTATGGGTAGATTGGTCATTTGTTTGATTAGGACCTGGAGTTCCTAGGAAGTGTCTCAAAAGCAAGTCTCTGGGGCCGGCGCCATGGCTCACTTGGCTAATCCTCCACCTGCGGTGCCGGCATCCCATATGGGTGCTGGGTTCTAGTCCCGGTTGCTCCTCTTCCAGCCCAGCTCTCTGCTGTAGCCCGGGAGGGCAGTGGAGGATGGCCCAAGTGCTTGGGCTCCTGCACCCACATGGGAGACCAGGGAGAATCACCTGGCTCCTGGCTTCGGATGGGCACAGCGCCGGCCATAGTGGCCATTTGGGGAGTGAACCAACAGAAGGAAGACCTTTCTCTCTGTCTCTCTCTCACTGTCTATAACTCCACCTGTCAAAAAAAAAAAAAAAAAGCAAGTCTCCAGCATCAGGCTGCCAGAGTGAATTCTGAATCTTGTTAGCTGGGGTCTCGCACGACTGATTGAACCCTTGTACCACTCCCCTGGTTGAGTGAGAGTTCATCTTTAGTGAGGAGTTGACTTGTAATCAGCAAAGTGAAGACAGCGGACCTGCAAGCCGACAGAGGGAGCCCGGGGAGTCCGCATCGAAGACATCAGACTCAGCTGCAGGGACAGAGAACCAGAAACTGCTCTTCAGCGTCTCAAAGTAACTCTTCCTGGAACCATCTCAGAAGGCAACCCACAGTACTACAGTGTTTAGGAATTCCATTGAGGCCTGCACCTGCACCCACCCCAGGCCAAAGCGGATGCAGGCTCTGTCTGGCTGCTTGGAGCCTGTGGAGCAGTGATTTCTGTCCCATTCAGAAGGCACAAGCAGCGTGAAGCACCTTTCCCAATCTCTCTGCGTAGGGCACTGTACACGCATTAACGACCTAGTAGATAGTTGTTTTTTTCCCCCTCAATGAGGAAACGGAGCCCAGAGACATCACGCAACCTAGCCAAGGTCCCATGGCTGGCAAAAACAAACAGACTAAAGCCAAGCAGCCTGCGTCCAGAGCCTGTTCCTGCACAATCCATCCTGTTCCTGCACAGGACTTCAGCACACAATCCGGTCCAGCACTCTAACTTCACTCTCCTGCTGGGCCGGGTCCCAGAACTCCAGGCAAACCTGTGCTGACTGGTGAGGGCCAGGAGGACCTTTGGGGTCCCAGTCTCAGGGCTCCCAGGGCCAACAGGGACACCTCATTCCCCAGCCCTGTCGTTGGGAACCTGTGCTTGGGCTTAGAGAGCTGGTGAGACTTGGATAGAAACTGGGATTTCTCAGCAAAATCTGCTAGGTGCACTTTTCTGGAAGAATGAAGGCATGTTTGGCCATTAGTGAGTCAGCATTCTCTAGTACCCGGTCCATCTAGCAACAGTATTGTAGGACCCTTGTCCTCCCCCAGCCCTGGAGAAAATCAGGGCTCCCAGCACAGCTGGGCCCCACAGGTAACCCACTCAATACAGACCTGGCACATAAAGACTGGAACGAATGACTGTCAGCCATTAAGAAATCATACTCTGGGGCCTGCACCGTGGTTTAGTAGGTTAGGCCTCTGCCTATGGCACCAGCTTCCCATATGGGCACATGTTCGAGTCTCGGCTGCTCTACTTCTGATCCAGCTCCCTGCAAATGTGTCTGGGAAAGCAGTGGAGGATAGCCCAAGTCCTTGGGCCCCTAGCACCCACGTAGGAGACCAGGAAGAAGCTCCTGGCTCCAGATCAGCCCAGCTCCAGCTACTGCAACCATTTGGGGAGTGAACCAGCACACAAAACTCCTCCCTCTCTGTCTGTAACTCTGCCTTTCAAATAAATAAAATAAATCTTAAAAAAAATCACAGTCTGAGGAACCATTATTAATTTTGTAAAATGGGTAAATGATACTGTAATCACATTTTTAAAGTCCCGAGCCTTTTTTACCAGGAGGTGGAGGGGCAGATGACAGAATGGACAATGTGGACACTCTTCCAACGTGGAAACCCTTGTGGCTTCATAGTCCTATTGTCTCTACTTGGGACTGGTTTTAATGCCAAAATAAAAAGTTTCAAAATGCAAATAAATCAAAACTACTCTCCATGCATACCAAGATGCAAACGACCCAGCCAAGCAGGCCGCTGGGCCAGGAAAACAGGTAAGAAGGTTGGGAACGGAGCCAGCTCTTGGCAGGCTCAGGACCCTGGCTTTAGTCTCGGGCGTGGATTTCGGACACTAACGCTTCAGGTCTCAGTTTTGCCCTCCGTGGAATGGTCACGCAGGGCAGGTGAGGCTGCTGACTGCGCGCGGCCGCGAGGGTGGGCGGACAGGATCATGATGATGGAGGAGGAGGAGGAGGATAGGAGGATCACCCTATCCCCTGTGGGGGGGCGGGACCCTGGTCCCTCGGGGAGGTTTTTGGACGGAGGTCGGGGGAGGAGCGCGCCCGGGGGCGGATAAGTGGGGCTCTGGGGGCAGGTGCAGCGGGGGCCGGCGCCTCGGCAGCCCCTCCCCCGCTCTCCCCTCGCCGCCGCCTCCCCTGCGCCCTCCCCTTCTCCGCCTCCTCCCCCACCACCTCCTCCCGGTCCCTGGCAGCCGCAGCTCAGGGAGCAGCCGGCGGCGCCGTAGCCGCGCAGCCTTTGTTGTCGGGCCTCCGGGCGCGCGGGGCCCAGCGCAGGCGTAAGTGACCGGTGGCCGGGCCGCGGGGGACTCGGCGGGGAGTGGGCCGGGGGTCGCGGGTAGCTCCCTGTGGGGCTGATGGGCCGAGCAGC